TTTTGCGAGATCCCGAGTTAGTTTTGCGAGATCTCGCAAAAGTCCGTCTTAATTTTTTTTCTCCCATGTCCCCTGCGGGGCTCCGTAGTAAGCACATTTTGGGATTTTTAGGAGAAAATTTACGGCTTTGTTACCAAACATGTTGCGTTAATCAGTGGCGATTTCTCTCTCCATGACGCAAACTGACACAAACACTCGCCTGGATGTGAGAAACTGACATGTTAATAACAAATTCTGGTTATTTTTTTTTATATTAATTTTATAATATTTTCCCTCTGTTCTTTCTGAAGGTTTAGAAATGTAAAACATGTTTTATGTGCCCTGAAATTTTAATTAATAAGGTGTTCGGATTAATTAGCTGCTTATTGGTTTGGCTATTTACTGCAAATTCAGAAGTTCTGCTGAAGTTTTTTTGTTTTTTATTTTTGCATTCGGTCTGTCAAAGTCGGTTGTTTTTGCACAAATTTGAGCACTTTTCCTGATGTCTGTGAACTCAGAGCTTTACTGGTTTTTAGTTGGTGCAGACACTGCCACCTCTGGTTCTGGGAAGTCAGAGGCCACGGGTCAGAAGATTTTCGATGCAGGACGCAGAAGATGGTGTCACCATCTCGCTCGGTGTCCCAGTTGCCTTTTTTCAGCATTTGCAAACCAAGAGGCCGACTTCAAGTATCCACTGCTTGCCTGCAGTTTTCACAAATTCTGTACCCAAAACTCAGCAAATTATTTCATGAGTCTGATGAAGTGTTCAGTTTGATTTTTGCTGTTTTTTTTCCTTTAAGGCTGTTTTAGTTGTTGACAAATTAATTTCTAATATTTATTATTTCCCCCTGTAATTAAGCTATGGTGATTAACTTTGACAGAGCAACTCTGGTTGTTGTACTCTTGTAGATTCAAATTCTTTGGCGTTGAGCCCTTTTCAGACGTGAGATACTTGACATCATGCTGTTATTGCTTTTTAACACTGGCGACACTGATGGAGAGAGCCACTGTGTACATCCATATGTGCAAAATACTTAAGTCAGCTCGAGAAGTCTGTGTTTAATTCGCAGTCTGAACCTCCACATCAGATTGAGAGAAAGAGGTCTGTCTCTTCTGGACTGAGTAAAGAAAGAAGTATCAAATAAGTAACACAGTCAGAGATGTCGTGAAGTGGCTGCAATTTGTGTTTCTGGTTTTCTCTGATGAGCTGAGCTAGTGTCAGTCAATGTTTTCATTTTAGTACAATTCCCACATTACTTACTAAACCTAAAAGAATACAGTAATCCTCCTGCAGCTGGAGCACAGCTGGCTCCCGCGTGACCGGCCTCAAAAGAAAGCATGCGTAAACCTAAACTGGCAACTGGCAGTTGGCCTCGTAGATTTGCTGTTGTGACTTTTACAGGAAAGGATCAGGGTGTCTGCAAAGGGCTTTAGAGAAGCACAATTCAGTCTGCAATACACTGCCTCTTCCAAACGAGGGCGCCCTTCTTTCGTTTTTCTTGGTTTGTGCTTTTCTCTCCTGCAAACCTGCAAACACACAAAAACCAAATGTTTCTGACTAATTTCTTCAGGCTTAATTTCACTCTGTGTAACAGTATTTTCTCTAATGCTGGTCAAAGGACCAGAATTTCTTCAGCTTTTTTCTTTTTGCTGTGCTTTATAGCTTTAACAACATTAAAACACTGACGTTTCGCTCTTTCCCCAAAAGGCATTTGCTGTGTTTGTGTGTCATCATGTGTTCATGAAAGTGGATTTGACCCGACCGGCAAGCGTTTCTCTGAGTGCTGATGCCTGTTTTTGTTTTTTGTTTTTTTAAATTTAATTATTTTTTTATGTGTATGTGTGCATACCCTTTCCTTCCCTCCATAGTAATAATTAGCTTACAAACCTTTTTAATTTTTTTGCAATGACATGGATGCCTCAGAAACATGTAAAACATCAGACTTTACAGGCTACGAACACTTTTTTTGTATTGAAGAAAAAAAACAGTGAGAGGATGTATAAATATGTTCGGAGTTATTTTTGTAAGCCCAAAGTTTTACAGTGTTTTTAAAGGGTAAGAATGTATATTGTTGGACATGAAAACAGGTCGGGATTGTACGAGGCTGTATTTGGGGTATAACTGGCGTTAGGAATAAAGACATTTCGGCTGTTGAAGGCGACCCCGCAGACGAGCCTTTTCATACTCGAGGCTCTCTCATTGCAAACTAATTTCCTCAATGCTGACCTAATAATTCGAGAATATATATTTATAGTGAGATTTTTTTTAAATAGGGTTCCTTGTGGAATGTTTAGTTGAAATGATTTTAGGATGTTCTTTCTCACACGGCTAATTGTCTAGCAGTCTGGCTTTTATTTTATTGCCCTTTTTTCTTCTTCTTTAATTTGTAAATGAGGTTTTATTTGCTGCAGCAACCATTTCCTGTGCTGAAACACGACAGGTGATGTTGACCCAGCTCATTTCCTCCAAACCAGAAGAGAAATGGCTCAGAATTAGTTTGGTGACGAAACCGGATCCGATTCTATTTTTCTATATCGTTGACACTGTCGTTTCTGTGAGAGCAGAAGATTCCTCCTCAGAAACATTAACATGGAATACTTTTGAGTTGCATGGGACTGAAAATGTTGCATGTAAATGGCAAAACATTCTACCAAATTTGTGCATTATCTGAGCTTCATTTCAGCTGTCCTGGTATTTTAGTTGGTTTTATTTTATTTTTATCGAATAAATATTTTTCTTTTTTCCTTTTAGTTTTGAGAGGAGAGCTCTAAGGCTGTGTGACAGTGCAATCTGGACAGAAAGAACATCAGATTTTATGTTAGGTTGTTATTATTATTATAATTATTAATTTTTTTGCACCGTTTGAATAAATTCTCATTGTATTAAAGAAAGCTTCGTTTTCTCTTTCATGTGCTTTTCATAAGCAAAGTTTCTTTTGTAAAAAATCTCCAAATTCTTTAGCTGTAAAAGTTAAAGCCGCAAAGTTTGTGCTATGAACTGAATCCATAATGTTGAAGAGCTTCTGCAGAATTGAGTCCATACACCTTAAACCTAAATTGGGGGACCAAGCACAGAACAATCATCAACAAGTCATTCTCACCTCAAAAAAGAGGCCACCACACCAAGAAGAATCAACAACAACAACAACACAACAGACGAAAAAAAGCAGAAGAGGGTCAAGAACCCAAAAAACACCAAAAAAGCAAAAGACGCTGCCACAAAAAAACTGAAGAAACAAAAAAAAAAAAAAAAAAGAAAAAAAAACGCAACAACAACAAAAAAAAACAACATTATTAGAAGACCCCCCGGTGTAGCACCTCGCGGCCATCAGCAGCATCAGAAAAAATCATTAAAAAAAAATTCCTTTGAAGCCTTGGCAAAAAAAAAAGTGCATTTTTAACATTATTGCATCATTTTACTGATTGAGCTAAAATCTGGCATATTGTACTCTTAATTGATCATGATTGCAATCACAGAAATTTCTTCTTTTGTAAGTTCATACAGTCGGGGTTTACGGTTTTCCTATAACTGGGCAGCTCCCAGAAAACATCCTCCAAAAGCAGGGCACCAAATCCCTCCCACCCCTGAGTGTAAGTACAAAAGACCCACACAGTTTCAGACCACTCACTTTATCAGGAGTTTATTAAAGTAGTTTAGAAGAAACACAAAGAGATTTCACTGAAACAGAATAAACTCAGCAGTTTTCATTGTGTTAATACTTGTGTGTTTCATTTTAACCTTGCTGCATTATACATCGCTGAATAACTCCAGCTCAGATGATGCACGGTCCTGTGTCTGGGACTGTTTTATATATCAGAGAAATCTGAGACCCTTATGTAATATTGAACAGTTTCCCATGTGGTAAAAAATCCAGACCTCTCTCTATTATAGTTCACAGGGACACGGTCTCCCCACCTGTTCAGCAGGGCTCGGTGTCCCTCTACACTATCCAGACTTTCCCTGTTCTCGCTGGAAAGGAATTTCCTCTAAATAGGTTTGTGTTTGTCTGAAAGAGAGACTGACGCTTTATTTGCTCAGGTTTGGATGAGAGAGAAGAGGACTCTGCAACAGGATCAGAAAAGGATACAAAAAGAAGGTAAACTAGCAGGATTGTTCTTTTTTTCTGGTTTCTAACAGCAGAGAGATTAATTTCTATTTTTTATTTTTATTTAAATAGATGTTGGCTCAGTGCTCTGCTACAGTTTCCAGACCAAAGAACTTGACAAATGTGATTCATTCATTGTTTTCTTGGAAACATTTAAGGCCAAACTAGTCGAATTTTCTTCATATGATCTTAAAACTGTTAAAAATGCACATCTGTATGAAAATAAACACACACAGAGGTCAGCTTTGGCACTATGGTGCACAAACACAAACCCTAATAAGAAGTTTGCAATACTGATGTATTTTCTTCTTTTCTTAAAATAACTATTTCTTGCAAAATTACACATATTTAAAGAACAGCTGGTACATTTATAACATGTGTCTCATGGACATACTCGCACTGACATGTGTAAACATACAGAAACACAGTATATAGGCCAAAAATAGGCAGATTTTTTGTAATTTCTTTAGGTATTCTTGAGGAATATTTCTTTTGTTCCTCTTTGGCTGCCTTTTTGTTGTAGCCTTTTTCATGATGACCCCACACTGCTTCCATAATGTTGAAGTGTGGACTCTGGAAAGGTCGATCCCATTGTGTATGTGTGTGTGTTTTAT